GGGAGGGTGGGGAGGGCCTGGGTGGGGAGGGTGGGGCTGGGTGGGAGGTGGGAGGGAGGGGCTAGGTGGGGAGGGACTGGTCACCCCGTGGTGCCCTTATAAAACTCAACGTTTAACCTACTCACGCCGGCTTGTGCCCGCCCTCACAGTCGGCCATATTTGCGGAATACACCACGCCGCCGTTGACCCTGGCCATTGACCGAGCAACCCAACGTTCCTACCAGCTCCCTCCATAGGAATGTGTTAGCCCCAAAGAAAATAAATACGAATCAGTTGAAAAATGGTGTCGTAGCTCAATGGGCCTTACTCGAAATCAACTGAAATGGGTACAACCGTGATAAATCGATGGGTTTACAATCAAATGTCGCCATTCTCACCTCGTCTAAGACGTCCGGCCAGCGTGGAAGAGTAGGCCAAATACCCTCGCAGACGAGAGTGGCTGCCCGCCCTTCCGCCAGCAGTGGGTGGTGAAAGTAACTTCGCGCGGCTGCGTCTTTGCCTTCCATTATCACAAAATAAACACGGGACCCACATTGTTGTTCGTTTCGCACAAATATCGTTTTTGTTACGGTGATTATTGTTGCCCGTGATTTTTTTATGTATATAAAAAAAATTAATGACTAAAGATTGATGAAATTACGAACTCGAAAAATGTAAGTGGTAAATAATGACTGGCTGTGTTCGTCATTATAATTCTTGCTTTGGAATTTTTTTTTCGGAACGATTGACCGCTCGGTAGTTATATAAGGCAATCATTTTCGTAGTTGACACACCAGTATTTGTTTATTTTGTAATTGACAACACACGTGTGATATAAGCGTTACAGATTGTGTAAAGTCGTCATGATTATAACGACGTATGGCAGCAGGCTTATATTGCGTGGATTTTATTTGCAAAACAACTTTCAAGGATTCATACTCTTTGTTTTTTTCAGTATTGTTACGTAGGTAAAAAATTATATAAAATCAATGAAAACTACTTTTTTTTACATTTTTACCTACGTGATCTAAACCGAAAAACCAAAGAGTATGAATCCTTGCAGTCACGAAAGCCTTCAAATCTAGAATTAACTTTCAGGGACTTTATCGCTAGTCCTACCAACAGAAGCACAGCAAACGTAAAACGATATTAAAAGAAATGTGAAATACTTTTTAAAAGATTTACTAAGAAATTTTATATCGTAAAGCATCGTGTAAACATTATGTCATGGTAACCTGATAATTTGCGTGTGTGTCATACAAATTGTGGCCTGTCACTTTATAGGTGAGAAACATGTGCCACCATAGTGCCAATATTGTGCAATACTCAGGTTTGCTGGGGGGGCATGGCGAGGTGGTGGCGGGGGTGGGGGAGGGGCAGAGCATTATAAGGTGCTTCGTTCATCGAGCCTCAGTCCATCATCATTTACGTTCAACTGCGTGCGGTCACTATCTCAGCCGCATGCATCCAAACACGTGTCGTTCCGTGCTGCTGCTACTGCAGCAGCAGCGGGGACTGCTGCTGCTCCTGCCGCTGGTCCTGCTGCTGCTGGGAGGAGAGGCGAGGCCGCCGCCGGCGAGGTCTGTGGATGGAACCCAGACGCGGAGAGGTGTGGAAGAGTGGAGGCGCACACAAGAGGTGATGCTTTGAGATCACTCACCTTGGGGCGTGTTCATTGTGCTTACTTGTCACTGCCAATGCAGTATCACGAGAAAAAGTATTTCAATATCGAATGTAAAGACGATTTAATAATGTATCGCTCTGGGACTCTCCTGAATTGAGTCTTGAAACTCAGTAATGGTATTCGCAGAAATAAAAAAAAAATTGATGTCTTATACCCTATGTCCCACACCGCATGCAGGTGCTTGGAGAACTTGACCTCGAGCTGCGCGATGACGAACATGAGATGGCCTCGTCGCTCTCCAATGCTTTCGGCTTTGACGATGGAGACGCCAATCGCAGAGACCTCTGGAGTGGGGACCTCTGGAGCGAAGGCTCTTCGAACGAATCGCAGAGCCACACTCAGCCCAGCCCTGTGACCGGTGACTCAAGCCTTGTGGTAGAGGAGTTGACCGTGAGCCAGCCCGGTTACTGCGGGGTCCCCGACCCCAACTCGTTCTCCTTATACCCATCCAGAAACAAATGGCTCAAGACAGATCTGACGTACAGGTGAGACGCTTCGCGTTTGCAGGACCACGTCAGAAGAGTGCCGCTTCGGCTGCGAGGTGGCCAGATGAGATGGTAGTACAGAACATCGAGTCTTGAATCCGTCTGTGAAGACCATTGCAATGTTATCCTCCCATGTGCGTGGGTTTTTCTGGGTTCTCCGGTTTCCTCCCCACACTACGCTAAGCACTCGCCAGCTGGTCAAACTCCCCAGTGCACCGAGTCTGAGCACTCAGTGACGATCCCCTCGCTAAATTAAGGGCATCATTACTGCTATTATTCTCTTACTGCTGACATATATATACCCTGTGGATACCAATTTGCTTAAGCATACTCGACTTAGCCAACGGATGGCTGCTGTGGTGTAACGATTAGCACAGAGGTCGGTGGTTCGATCTCCAGGCGCGGCAGTTGATGATCAGCAGTCCCCCACCTCTCCCCCGTCATGCCTGTGTCCACCCAGCCAGTATAAATAGTTACAGCCACAGTCGATCGATCGGCAGGTAGCGTGTGGTGGGGTTAACCGTGGCTACTTCGATCTCTTCAAATGCTTCTGGACAGCGTGAAACGGCGTGCTAAAAAATATCCGATAGAGAGGCTCTGCAGAGCACACTCGAGCGGAAGATCCTTCCACCAAGAGTTAGTAAATGATTTAATTTCTCTCACTTGATACAGCAATCGTGCTGTGACGGTTCCACCTGAAGACGGAAGCTTGTGTTGCCTCCGAAACGTCGTGATTTTTATTTTACTTTTATTAATTTTAATTTTTACCTACGTGACTTTACCGAAAAAAAACCCTAAGAGTATGAAGGGATGTATCCTTTTTAACCGATTAAAAAAAAAACATCTGTTGCTCAATGAAGAGGCGCTCTCGCCAAAGAGGTGGCTAAAGAAGAAGCGTTGCATAATTCGAGGCGGGGGGGGGGGGATTTGAACGCTCGCCTGTGAAACCGCAGTCGTCTCGTGTATCATTATAGACTCGCGCGCCCCGCACGCAATAGACCCCAGGGGTCGGCAAAACCTTCGGCTCCGCGGTGCGACCCTTTGGCTTCCCCGCTTTTGCAGTACTTTGGCTGGCCCCGTGCGGGCAGCCGTTTTTAAGAAGCAAAAAAACCCGTCAATGTTAAACATAATTTACGGTTACATGCTAATTTCTCACCTTAACATCATGCTAATCCTTCACATTAACATAGCCACTTCCGTGCCCTATAATTTCTCACATTAACACCATGCTAATCCCTCACATTAACATAGCCACTTCCGTGCCGTCTAATTTCTCACATTAACACCATGCTAATCCCTCACATTAACATAGCCACTTCGGTGCCCTATGATTTCTCAAATCAAAATGGTGCTAATCTCTGACATTAACATAGCCACTTTCGTGCCCTCTAATTTATTACATTAACATCATGCTAATCCCTCACATTAACATAGCCACTTCCGTGTCCTCTAATTTCTCACATTAACATCATGCTAATCTCTCACATTACATAGACCACGTTCCGGTGCCCTCTAATTTCTCACGTTAACATCATGCTAATCCCTCACATTAACATAGCCACTTCCGTGCCCTCTGATTCTTACACATAAATCAGTCTAATCCCTCACATTAACATAGCCACTTCCTTGCCCTCTAATTTCTCACATTAAATCATGCTAATACCTCACATTAACATAGCCACTTCCTTGCCCTCTAATTTCTCACATTAACATCATGCTAATCCCTCACATTAACATAGCCACTTCTGTGCCCTCTCATTTCTCACATTAACATCATGCTAATCTCTAACATTAAATAGGCCACTTCCGTGGCCCTCGTCGAGGAGGCCGCTCTCCTTTATCTTACAGTTACATGCTATTTCCTCACAATTAACATCACTAGCATGGTCACTTCTTTAAATTTGGGACCCTTGAGCTACACCCCATTTCTAAACCTTTTAAAACATTCTCCTCAGCAGCAGACCATGCTTTCCCACCTGATGACGGACGCTTGTGTTGCGCCCGAAACGTCGTGATTTCTTTTATTTTATACCTACGTGACTTTACCGAAAGAACCAAAGAGTATAATTTATCTCAAAGATAATTGATTAAATATGGCAGGGAATGGGTCACTATGGAAAGTCTTGGTGACGACAAAATGTACAAACTGTTTTGTGAAAGAATAACTAAGGGGGGGGGGGTCGGGTAAAAACAACTAAAATGACTCAGATTATTCTATCACCTATTTTTTTTTATTTAAGTCAGAATCTGTTTCTTATTTTGCTGTATACCTGCTGTGTTTGTGTACAAGTAGCCCTGCGTGTGATGCGGCTCTCGAACTATTTTGTTCCAAGGAAAATACTAAAAAATGGCTCTTCCTCTTTCAGAGGTTGCCGATCTCAGCAAAAGACGATACGGGCTGCCGATTTTTTATTTATTTTTACCCCCTTTTGCTCACCCCCCCACCCCACCACCTATGACTTTTTTTCATTAGTTAAAAAAAATTGTTATTCAAAAACCCATATTACGAAGTAGATTCCGAAGAAGCGGTGGGTGGGGGGGACTCCAGCAAATATCGTATAACAAATCTGGAGTGATTACACCCTCAAAATGTAGGGACCCACCGGGGGGGGGGGGGGGCGTTGGGCTCGCTGCCCTAACGCTGTAGGTCCGCCTATGAATTGTTAACGTGGCCCGAGTCATCTGCCGATCCCTGGCGGTTGCTTCGTTTGCTCCGTCCCGTGGTGGAAATGTTTGAAGAGCCTCGTGTTGGCCCACGCACATCGTGCCAACGTTTTGCCCAAAAGGCTGTGCACGTTTGCCAAGGGGTTTGTCTCCGCGCGACAGGTTCGTGAACTACCCGTCGGGGATGAGCAAGCAGAGCGCCGAGGACGCGGTGGCGGAGGCGTTCAACTTGTGGAGGTCGGAGTCGACGCTCACCTTTCCAAATGCTGCGGGAGGGCGAGGCGGACATCATGATCTCCTTCGAGCGGCGCTGTGAGTCCGGCCTCAATCTGCGCGCCATTCATCTCAAGCGCCCGTCGCCACGAGCAGAATCCAACGGAGTTTCGCTCATTCACCTAAACCTTCCACCCTGTAGCCACATAGACCGTTGGAGCAAGTGCTGTTGTTTCGATAACTTTTTATAGAATTTTCGATAATAATACAATGTCGGGTTACGCTGGCGTTAGTAAAAGTGGTGAAGACCATTTGATGTATTCACAGGCTATAAAAAAGGGACATAAGCATAGAGCTCACGAGGAATAGGGGACAGAGGAGATGATCGGGAAAGAAGGGGAATGTGAAAAGGAATATCAGAGAAAGGAGAGAGAGGGTGCCTGGCTGAGGTCACAACGTGAAGATGATCAGACCGAGGTGTTGACAATGACCAAGTTATTCTGGATGGAATGGCACACGGGAGGATGGTGTGACGAACCACCACGCCCAACCGCCTTTGTTTTCCCATTGCAGCTTCAGTATTTACTCTGTTTGCTGCGATATGGCGATGCTAAATTGAAAACTATGTATTTTTAAATCCTTTATATTAAGTTCGCTTGCTTGCTTGTTTGCGTGCTTGCGTGCTTGCTTGCTTACGACCGTGCAAATCTTTTGGTCGTTTTTTAACCCACTTCCCGTGATCCAATCGAGCTGACATTTTCCACACACGACTCGTTGTGCGTGACAATTAATTTTCGTGAAATATTTTTTTAAAATTTACATTGTTTAGGGAATTTTTTTAAAATATTTAATTACCAATTGCTTAATGCTGGCAGACAATCATCTGACCCATAGGTGGCAGCCATCTCAAGCCAGAGGACGAGAGGACTCTAGCCTGCCACGCATATAAAGGATTTAGAGTGAAAAACTTTGTTTTTACGGGATTAATTAGAACTGCTTTTTGTGTTTAGTTTGTTGTCCTTTCCCCGCACCTCCGATTAGCACGACTGGCTACGGTGCGAAAGTAGTTCTACGTACAGAGATGCCACGATATTTTATCTTACGATTTAAGGTGCCACAATAATCGTGTCAGTCCGTACTCTTTGGTTCTTTCGGTAAAGTCACGTAAGTATAAATAAAATAAATTAAATCACGACGTTTCGATTGCAACACAAGCAACCCATCATCAGGTGGGAAACCACAGCAAGAACATTTTTTGCAAGAAATGTTTTTGCTGTAGTTTTCCTACCTGATGATGATTGCGTGTGTTGCAATCGAAACGTCGTCATTTAATTTATTTTATACCTACGTGACTTTACCGAAAGAACCAAAGAGTATGGATCCCTGCAGTCACTAAAACTTCAAATCTAGATTTCGTGTCGTCCGTGTTTTGCACAGTATCATCGAATCGTTATTAAGGTTACTTTTGTAAAAAAAACATTCTCTGACAAACACATGTAGGAAATAATAATACAATCATTAAAGTTATAAGTAAATCGCTATGCATTAACATTAGTGCTTTGCAAAACGTTTTACGAAGTAGTTAATGGCATTGTGGTATAATATGATGTCAATAATTCCGTACAAAGTTAATAATTTAATACTGCTAAGAACCTCCTGGTTCCACCAGCCCACAGGGGATTATTGTGTCCGTCCGTCCGTCGTGCATCTAAAAATGGGAGGGGTGGGGCTGGGTGGAGAGGGTAGGGGTGGAGAGGGAAGGGAGGTGGGGAGGGGCTGGGTGGGGAGGGTGGGGCTGAGTGGGGAGGGGAGGGTGGGGAGGGGCTGGGTGGGGAGGGTGGGCTGGGTGGGGAGGGGCTGGTCACCCCGTGGTGCCCTTATAAAACTCAACGTTTAACCTACTCACGCCGGCTTGTGCCCGCCCTCACAGTCGGGCATATTTGCGGAATACACCACGCCGCCGTTGACCCTGGCCATTGACCGCGCAACCCACCGTTCCTACCAGCTCCCTCCGCAGGAATGTGTTTAATCTCTTTGCTAAATGCTCGCTCGGGAGTAATTGTGTTTGCCTCTGTGCAGATCATGGGGACGAGTTCCCGTTTGATGGACCGCACGGGGTGCTAGCGCATGCCTACGAGCCGTCACCTGGACTCGGCGGAGACTTGCACTTTGATGACGAAGAACAGTGGAGCGTGGGCCTCATTGGTGCGTCTGGCTGAAGCTGTTCACGTCTGCTTGCGATAGGGGCCTCGGAAGATTGGGCGTATAATCAGAACCAAAATAAGTAATATTTCAAAATACTTTTTTATTAAACGCTTTAATGAAATGTACCGTACGAGTAATGGCAAAACTCCACGACTCCAGGAAGTGGCCCCGAAGCTTGCCATAACGTAAGGGGGCCGTGGTGATTCACAGCCAACGACAGTTGAGCGTGGACAATTAGACCCAATCCGAAACATAAGATATAAAAAAGATTGTTTAAATTTTATTTTATTTTTAATGATAGAATATAGTATTGTCATCAGTATGACATAAGTATACCAAGTTTGCAGTCGATAGCACATTGGGAAGTGGGTAAAATTGAGTTACAAGATTTGTTGAGGATATGACAAATAATAAAAGCGTGTAATAATAATAAAAACACCCGGGGCTTAATTTCTCACTTGTGAGTTTAGAGAACGCAACTCGATTGGTTTTGAGTCGGGAATATTGCTTGCTGTAAGGCACTACCACTAGAGTACAAGGGACACCTGTCCGTAATAATCTTCTATTATGGCACCAATTATACTTCTAATTTTTGGGAAGGGTTATAAAAAAAATGTGACGCACGGACTTGCCGAAATGGATGTGGCGTGCCAAAATAATTCCTCTGAATAACATTCGACATCGTGTCGGCTGAAATTCAACACTGCTAATGACACGTGGAGTGGATTGTATGTGGGATGCCAAAAAATAATGCTTATTCTGAATACCTTTTCATTTAAATTGTATAACATACTGTGTATAAAACACTCAGCACATTTGTAAATAACACTGTGGCCTTTAAAGGAAACGTATGTAATAGGCGACCTTTCGGGTGAAGGGCCTTCTTGATAGCACATAATCATAGCAAATATGAAGGACCATTGCCCAAAACGTCACATTTTATATTTATTCTTAAGGCAGTGTTATTTTACGTACGTATATGTACGTATTTTTGTTTCATTTGTGCTTGTCAACACAGTTGGATTACAACTAGTTTATATAGACATTTACAAACAGGTCAAATGGCAAAGAAGACATAACTCCTAAATTCTGCAAAGGTTCTATGGATTTGAGGAGTTTATAATCGGTATCACAGATTAGATCCACCAATAGCGACACCCAGATTGGCACAGATTAGAGGAGTTATATGGTGTGTTGTCACGTGGCTTCATGGCGTCATATGTAATTTGGCAACATATCTCTTGTTTCATATTCTTGGTTCTTTCGGTAAAGTCACGTAGAAGGGAGATAATAAAATAATAAAATAATATAAATAAATTCTCACGACGTTTCGACTGCAACACAAGCAATCATTGCTTGTGTTGCAGTCGAAACGTCATTGCTTGTGTTTCAGTCGAAACGTCGTGAGAATTTTTATTGCTTTATATTTATATTATTTTATTATCTCCCTTCTACGTGACTTTACCGAAAGAACCAATAATATTAATCCCTGCAGTCACGAAAGCTTTAAATAAAAAAAACATATCTCTTGTTTCGATTTCTGGCATCTATTGTTTATCTCACTTTCATCCCAATCATCTTCATCTCTTGTCGACATTTCTGTCATCTCTATAGCTCTTATTGATCGTTTATACCACCAAATCTGTGTACCTTTATCTGTCAGCGGGCCATAACTCAGTGGGCCACTCCACGAGTCGTCGCGGGTCACATCTGGCCACGTGGGCGACAAGTTGACGAACCCTGCCGTTGTGTATAATGAGCTTTCGCGTTCTGGTCTCCCAACCCCTTAGGCTACAACCTCCGTGTGGTGGCCGCTCACGAACTTGGCCATGCACTTGGACTGCAACATTCAAACGAGCGTGGGTCCCTCATGAATCCTTCGTACCACGTGCGGCTTCACCCCTACCTCTCCGAGGACGATAAGGCAGGGATCAAGGCTCTCTATGGCACAGGTAAGGGTGATCGATGTGCCCCATTTTCCCCAACCACTTAGAGCCAGGCCCTGCCGGCAATGAGAACAGCCAGGGACAGTCCAGGATCAGACATATATCTGTGTCTATGCTCCCATGCTCGATAAGCAATTAAGGATCCATTGGCTTAGTCCAGGCATATTCAAACTTTTTGCACTAAGCGCCTTATTGAATAACGTGGGCCACAGAATAGTTAGGAGATGCATCAGATGGGCTACGTTGGATATGCAATCGAAATGGAGGATATATTATTAAAAAACAACAGAACAGATCAGACAGAAATACATTCGGTAGAGATTCGGGTAAAATATTTTCTTAAAAAACACGACATTTTCTACATGCTATTTATTTTATGGAAATGAAACAGACCCTTGGGTATGTATTATTTAGCTGAATGGTTTGTTCATTTTAACCACTCAAGAAATTAAATGAATCCATAGGCACTACTAGACAGAGTTACACATTTTTTTTTATATATATAGAAATGTGGTACTTGATGTTGTACTGTGTCACCATGTTGAACCCTGCTTGTGTTTGTCTTCTTCTCCCTCGTGTGCAATCCTGTGATTCTACAAAAAGCGTCCATAGTGACGCTATCCTCAACATCTCTCCTCCTCGTCGTCTCTCTGACCTCTAGTGTGATCCTATTCTGATCGGTCAGGTGTGGGTTAGAGAAGAAGTCTGTTGGTGACACCATGTAGCATTATTAACGACTCTCTGTATAACCCTCTTATATTAAATTTCGATTTAACGCTTTCGTGACTGCAGGGATTCATCTTCTTGGTTCTTTCGGTAAAGTCACGTAGAAGGGAAATAATAAAATAATAAAAATAAAACATAAAATAATTCTCACGACGTTGCGGCCACAACGTAAGAAGCCGTATTAGTCAACGAAATAATGCTTGGAGATACCTTCAGGCTATCCTATTCACAACCGTTTGTACCAACATTGGCAAGAATTTGTATCATAATTAGCATTGTGATCCCAGAGGTATGTACATTCACTACCTTTTTTGCCAATCCACTCACTGCTTTGTTGAGGACCTTCCCTCTGCTGTGTGGGTCATGGGCATTATTTGACCATGGGATGTTGGCTATCAACAACAAGGCAACTCCTATGACTAATTGGGAATGGGACGCAAGCGTAGGATTGATCACCCTGTCGCTGGCCGCCTTTGGGGAGGGTGTATAGTATGAAAGGCCAGAACACCCTAGGAACCAAAGGTTCACTACTGACGATGCGCTCCCCAAATTTCACTCGGCTCACTGTTCATGAACTCTTGGAAGTGCTTGCACAAAGGATAGTAACATCTCATCCTGTGTTCTTTGGAATCACCATGCTGGTCAGTGCGGGTAACATAGATGCCCTGTCCCCCAGTGACAATGTAGCTCACTAAAGTACTTTTGATATAATACAACGCATTGGCATTGCTGATGCATCTGGGACAATGTTATTTCATATGGTTGGGACAAAGCATTGCTTAAATGCAAAGGACTATTTTGGCATTGCCCAATACCAGCTACTGTCTATATTTAGCAACACTTGAATCGTAGCAATACCAAGCCATTGCCCAATTCCTGATAGAATTGAAGTGCTTAGTTGAGTAACCACCACCATGTGTCAGAGGCAGGTGCAATAGGGATGTGGGCTGTCAAGGCCAGTGCAACAAAATCCCTCGTTATGTACTCCTCTCATGTTCAACAACCCTACTCTTTGGTTCTTTTGGTAAAGTAACGTAGATAAAGAAATAAATAAATACTAATCATCAAAAAAATTAAAATAACTAATTTTTTTTTTTCCATCTACGTGACTTTACCGAAAACTTCAAATCTAGAGTTCACCAACCGGCACTGATTAGCCTGGTGAAGTATGGTTACATACTGCATCTATGGGGAGGCCCTCATGCAACAGCAGATAAAACTAAAATAATGTCCTGTACCATTTACATGTCAACCCACTGGTGAATGAAGGCCGCCTTCCTATGGCGTGGTAATCGGGGGCGGGGGGGGGGGCTGAGGCTGGGCTAGTTTCACCATACTTCACCACGCTGGTAGCTGCGGGTTAATGAAATGGTTGGGGGGGGGGGAGGCGTTGTCAGAACCAGCTGAAATATCACTTGCCACTGAAGTTAGCCATAGCTGGGAATCAAACTCAGGATCAGGTGCATAGCGCAATGCGTTAGCCACCACGCCACCCTCCCACTTTCATATTTTACTGTAACGTGTGTTATTTTCAATACTGCTTTGGTAAAATTTGTTACATTTTTGGGAACAATGTGTTCATGTACATAATTATCATTTATCCATGTACAGTACCTTACTCATCATCTAATAACGTGAAATAAAGTTTACAATATCAACAAGTTTTTTCCAAGTATCCCCATGTGTTTTATCCATTTTCAACGCTTTCCACAAATTCAGGTTGAAACCGTTCATGCATTCGTTCTGTAGCGGTGGAGGTAGGGACACAATACCTTTCGCAAAGACGATCCAATGCAAATGACATTTTAGTGTAAAATTATGTCGCTATGAGGGGCTGGTCCAATAGAAAACCGCACCTTCGATTAGCACGGTTGCCTACATACGTTGCAAAAAAAGTTCAACATACATACAAAACAAACCAAATTCATCACACACCACGCGTGACGTCATCTCAGTGTACACCTTGAAAATCACGACATCGCCAACGCTCGTGAAATTCCACCGAGGAAACATGCACACGCGAGAAAGCTTTACAAAATCAACGCTCATGCCTTGGTTTCTCTTCCTTGTTTCCTATACCCATTCACCTTCCTCGAATATCCTTGAAATCCTAAATCTGACAATGTACGGCGTTAGATATCTCTCTATCTCACCTATGGGTTTTGTGCTCTCTTTCCCTACACCTCACCACCTCTTTTCCTCCACCTCTCTGGTGGTTCCTCCCTCCCCAAACCTCCAGGTCCCCTTCCCCGCAGCCTGGAGGCACCACGACAACTCTCGGAGCACGACTTCACACCTCACGACGACAACACACGCCCCGACAGATCGCACGAAATCGCCAGCGATGCTCCTCACGGTGCACTCCTTGACCATACCCACCACGACGAACCCACGACCGCCAGTGACACCCCTGACGAGGCACGCGTCCTCGCGGCGAGCTGCAGCAGCAGCAGCAGCGGCGGCGCAGACTCCTCGCCACTGCCCATGGACTCGCTTGCCGGCGCGCCCCGCCTGTGCGGTGGCAATCTGCGTGTGGACGCCGCCTCCTTCATCCATCGACAGCTCTACATCTTCCAGGGCGAGTGAGTGTGGCACTCGTATTTCTCATCCGGCGGAGCAACCGAATTACGCGGGGTAGTACAGGGGCCAGCCCGGCGCAGCTCAGGAGGCGCCCGGCTGTTTATTTTCTCCCACTGCAGAAGCCACGGGGTGCTGCTGAAGTCAGTGTCATGCATTCGAGTGTAGCGACTAACGCATTGTTGCACTCCTACTCTTTGGTTCTTTCGGTAAAGTCACGTAGGTAAAAAAGTAAAAAAAAATTAAATCACGACGTTTCGGGCGCAACACAAGCGAAAGCACACCACTTAAGCGGTGTGCTTTCGCTAAGTTGTCCCCACCTGAAGAAGGACGCTTGTGTTGCGCCCGAAACGTCGTGATTTAATTCATTTTAACTTTTCACCTACGTGACTTTACCGAAAAAACCAAAGAGTATGAATCCTTGCAGTCACGAAAACTTCAAATCTAGAATTGTTGCACTCCTGTCCTGGCTCTGCTTGGCACCGATGTCTTAAGAGGCTGGTTTGCTTCTAGCTCTGCATGGCAAATTGCTGCTGGAAAACCACCCATATCATGAGGACCGTTGATGAAATTTTTAGAAAAAAAAGTTTAATTATTATTTTTAATAGTATAAATGTTGTTTTGTCTCTTAACTAGGATTCTTAAATATGTTATTGTTAATTTTAATGTCAGAAACACTTAGTCTGTAGCTTTCCAGTTGTTTGGGCGAAAATTGGTCTAAGTTTTGCCCAATCCTGGCCGGCTGGCTCAAAAAACATAATAAACAAACAAATAAGTGGTTGCAGAAAAGATGAAAGAAAAACAGAGCAACTAAGAACAGATGTTCACGGAGGTAGCTGGGTGCATAATCAAAGTTTTTGGGTGAGATCGCGTTATTTATAAAATGTGTCGCAACTCTCCACCACCCGACGGTGTGTTGAAGAGTGGATCCACAACATTTACAATTTGAGTTGTACGACGTTTCGCTGGAAATTACATCCAGCATCTTGGGGCGATTTACCAGAATAGTGAAGCCATCCACCTGCTTCGGGTCTTAAATAGTGCAGGATGACGTCATCATTGTTGAACCCCATCAGGATTCGAGATCAGAGGCGGAGGTGGGGGTGTATGCAATTATGTAATAGATCAGTAATCAACCACTTAGCAGCATGTTACTCACCTATAAGGAATTGCAATATGTGTTGTGTATTACTTAATAATACGCTTCTAGGCTGCGCTGAGTCTATAGTTATCACAGCGATTAGAATTATTTTAATTCTTCTCAATTTCAATTGATTCTCTAACTAATCTTGGCCAGTAATAATTAGTTCCGCATAACACTTCAACGTTATCAAAATCAATTGAATGTCCTTGTTGGCAAGCATGCTCTGCCACCGCTGACAGCTGTGTTTGGGAGAATGTAATGTTCCTTTGGTGTTCTGTCCAATATAACACTTACCGCATAAGGTGGAGGGTTGCAACACATTTATAAATAACGCGTTTTAACCCAAAAACCTTTATTATGAATAATACTGGTCACGAAAGCCTACGTGTTTAACAGGTAGCTCGGTGGCTGAGTGGGCCAGAGTACTGAGTCAGCCCGGCCAAGATACAGGGATAAAGTCGAGGTTTCGTCCACCAGTAATTTGGTTGGTCACTGAACATACCATACTCTCTCTCTGAAATTAGTTTTCAATTTAGATTTCAAAGTGCATAGCTCCAGTGGCTTCCTAATATGTTCGGAAGGAAGAGCATATCAGACGGCCGCAGAAGTGCATCTGAAAGCGTGCGATGCAATGTCTTTGTTAAATGGTTAGCCAAAAGTCCTTGTGCGAGGATGAGCGGAGTTTTTACGATGGTTTACGCTCCTTGACGAAATTCATGACAATCGCACATTCGACACTTAACCAGGGAGAAAAGCTAATTATGCAACAATTGTGTAGTATATCACCTATAAGGAGGTGTTGTGTTCAGCTCGACGCCCATACGTTATGCGCACTCTACACACACACACTCCCTTTATGTTTCACTCACACACTGTGTGCGTCTCCCGCAGGTATTTCTGGCGAGTGTCGAGCATCCCTGACGGGAGCGGGACTCCCTGGTCTGGTGTCGTCCCATTGGCCCGGAGCGCCACATCACATCGACGCTTTGTACGCGAACGCACGGAACCACACGCTCGTGTTCTTCTCGGGTAAGTCATGCACGCACGCACGATGCCCACACGTACTGACATGCGCAAGGACTCTTGTCTGTCAGCCTTTTCATTCAATCGCAGCCCTTGAGGAGCAATTTTTGTCGTGCAGAGTCGAGTAAGGGTCACCGTAATATGGCGATACTACAATAGACCAGGGCCCGCACTAGGTGGGTTGCTGGAGTGATCCCTGCTTCTTTTGGCCCACCAAAGTTTGCCCTCCTTAGCGGAGTATCACTGTTGGTTGCTCATACAACAGCTCCACTGGGCCTCCGAATCCGAGAAGAGCTGGAGCTCGACCTACGATTAGGACGGTTGGCTACGTACAATGCAAAAGATGTTCAACATGCATACACAGATTGTAATATATGAAGTCTATGATAATCATATCGACCGTTTTGCAGTATGTTGATTATTTATTGTATTGATGTATGTCTATATATATTTCCTGACATTCGATGAAATAACAATAAATATCACCGCAATAAAGGTCGAAATATATTGTTAGTCCCAATTAAATCAGTGCTTGTGAAACGTTTTTAGATTAATTGCCGGCATAGTGTTTATATGACGTCATCCGTTTTTTTACTGCATGTGCGTTACAAGCATTATAGATTGTAAAGCAGGGGCGGGGAACCTTTTTTCTGCCAAGGGCCATTTGGATATTTATAACATCATTCGCGAGACATACAAAATTATCAACTTAAAAATTAGCCTGTTATATTTAGTCAAATATTTAATGAACTCACCCCTAATGTGATGGCTGGAATTGCTTCTCTTTGGTGAGGCGTGTGATGTTAGCTGGTATTGATGATGTTGCTGCTACTCGCAACTGCTTTTCCAGGTTTGCTCCTAGATTGATTCAATTTCGAGTCCCACCTGCGGTTGCCTTGGCAGGGCCAAACCAAATTATTTCGTGGGCCTTATACGGCCCGCGGGCCAGACGTTCCCCACCCCTGTTGTAAAGTGACAATAATGAGGTGACCTGTGGCAGGTGTATGTTGAATGAACTACAGATGAAGACGTTTTTAGCAATCTTGATTTGTACTGGAAGTAGATCGATACCCCAAAATGAGATGATTACTTTTTTTTTAAACACAATTACAAATTTAGGGGATAATAATATCATAACATTTCTTATCCTACTGTATCTTACTGTATGATGAACAGTAATAACTCCTATAGTCAGTCGAGTAAGGGCTCATTCTGGCCGATTGATACCACAGACCTATGAAATTGATGATGAGTTACGTGTGACCTATGACCTTTGACCTATATTTTAAATAACCTTGGCACAAAAAAATTACGTTGTCAATCACAATGAGTGGAGTGTCACCTGGCGGATAAAGCCGGTTATTGCACCTGTTTCTAAAAATGTGACTGGGATGTGAAAAGAGAAGCCAAATGAGGCTTCAGGTCACTCATGCGATATGGACGTGTCGGAACACATGGACCAAAAGACCCAAACATCATTACAATAAAGCCTCCCCCATCTCCCCCCCCCCGTGAACTCCTGCAGCCACGACTCTACAAACCCCTCCCCCCCCCGTGCCTATATAAAGCCACAACAGCAGATCATTCTTTCTCACCTGATGACGGACGCTTGTGTCTGCGACCGAAACGTCGTGTTCTTTTATTATTTTTTCTTCTATTATCTACGTGACTTTACCGAAAGAACCGGAGAGTATAATGACAATAATAATATCAATAACATTCATTTAATCAGGGAAGCCTCACTTAGTCTCAATTCTTTTTTTTTTTCAGGAAGATTCCACATTGAGATGTGTGGCGACTGCCATCACTGAGTGGGTTCATGTGGCAGAAAACCTGAGCACCCAGAAGAAAAAAAACACAAGCGAGGAAAGCATTTAAAACTCTATACAGATAGCTTAAAAAATAAAGTATATTGTTGTACTGACATCTCCTGGCCAACTGGCAGCTCAAGCCTATAACACCTAGCACTCCAATGTAGTCTCTGATCCACTAACTTAGCTAGGCTCTAACCTGCCTAACTTAAGAATGCTAGCAATATTGTGTGCATTCAGGGTTACGTTTTAGATACAGATTCACGTATAATTTAACTTCCCACACACACGTCCATACGTACATGCATACAAACATACAAGCTTACACTCGATAATCTGCTTACCCCAATAACACGATCGATTTCACAGATGATTACCACTTGAGTTTGAAAAGCCAATGGTGCTAATCGAAGGTGCCAACATAATTGTCACTTCGAATCATGACAAGGCATATCACAGTGGAGGGAGTGAATCATTACGTCACATCCCTGCTGGGTCCCCTTCACTGAAGCTCTGTTGTCTCCTCTCCAGGTGAGCGCGTGTGGGCGATGAGGGGCTTCGAGATGGACACCGGGTCCCCACGGGATCTACGTTCCCTGGGGCTGCCACCGGGGACTTTGAAAGTCGACGCCGCTGTGCCAGGACGGGACCACACGCTCCTGTTCACAGGGCGGCAGTACTGGAGGTTAGCGGGCGGACGAGTGCACTTAGATTGCTCTCTGGTATGGGGAAGGGCCACTGCGTCGTATGCACATTTATCCTTTGTAGGGCAGTATTATATTCAACAAATGTTTTGAGTTTTTGTTACGTGTGAAATGCACTTTTCCAAAAAATAAATAAACTGTCTAGTTAATATATTTTCCATATCATTGGTGTAACAAGTAATGAAAACCATTCATATGCATAGATTAAATAATGCATCCAAACATGCGTTTGCCTTCAGCAAGTATTTCATTTGCAGTACGGGAATCGACGGGTTATTACTGTCAGAGCAAAATGTTTTGAAAATAGTTATTTTTTGCTCGGGTTTATTTCTCCAAGCTTTGGGCAATCTTGATATTTTGAGCAAAGGTTTCCTGGGACTTTGACAGAACGCCTTGGGCTGCTGGAGCAGAGAGTGCGTGGATCACAGTAGCGTCGGATTAGGGGGAGAAATATGGCAGGGTGGAGTCCATGCAGGATCTTGAAAGATGGCCAGGGCCTCATCTTTAAAAGTGATCCGACAATGGATCAGGAAGCCATGGCATTACAATTATTGTTGTACTTTTTTGTAACGAGATTTTACGTAAAGCGCTTCCAGACTCCGTAGTGTATAGGGTGCTATGTAAAAAAAATTATTCATTCCCATTACTTTTGTGTAGCTACAACGAGGTGACCAAACGCATGGACGATGGGTTTCCAAGGGAGCTGCATGAAGACTGGCCGGGGATCCCACCAGACCTGGACGCTGCAGTCTCTAATAACGGTACCGAACAAAATATCGCGACACGCCCAGAAGCAGTTCACTCCCCTCTGATGTCTCCAGCGATATCAGATCGCATTAGAGGGGCTTGCTTAGCTACTCCATTGCCCGTAGGATTTACATATAGATCTATAGAGTTGTATGGAGGTGCATTGACTTCCATAGAGTTACATAGAGATGCATCGAGATACATAGAGATCTACCATTACATAGATATATATATATCATTACATAAAGAGCCACAGAGTTACACAGAGATCTATAGCTACATAGAGAGCCATAGAGTTACATACCGACTCACAGAGAGTCATAGAGTTAAATAGAATTTCAGAGACTCAGACTCTATTTAGCTGGTGATCGGGCCCATTGAGCCAACCAGCTCTGTTACAAGCCAACCATAGGCCACGACCATCAGCAGTGGTGGCAGTTACAGGACCATTTTAATGTGGGAATGAGCAAACAATACATTATTTATGCCAAACACAACAATAGTATTAAAAGCTGAAAACAGCACTTACAGAAATAAGAATTACAACTACCAGCTCTTGTAATACGATTACAGTAACTAAAAGCATTACGTCACAACACTGGATAGAACGATGACCATCATACTAATAATAAGCACGTATCTGTTAATTTCCATACAGCGTTATTACTGCTTCAGCACACCAGTACGTTGGAGAGCAATCCACAACATTGAACAATTAGGTTCAACGTTTCGCTGGTAGTTATAATCAGCACCATCAGGCAGTTGCCAGCATTGTGACAACTGCATGATGATTCTCTCCAAACAAGGAAAACAATAATTTGTTTTAACCATGACAATGAAACAAGACAATTCATTGAACGAATCGTGGTGGAGTGCGTGGGTGATGGTATATATATATTTACAGGCTTACTGCCTAGAGAAAACCTGAGGGAATTATACCTTTGTATTGTTTCTTGCATCTGCTATTTCATATCGTATGAGCAGGAGGATGCTATCGTGTTGTTACAGTGAGCTCATCGGACTTACAGACCAGAGGTCGCTGGTTCGATTAGAAATCTCAGCGTGGCAGTTGAAATAATGGGCAGCTTTCTTTACATCCCCCACGCCTTTGTCCACCCAACAGTTTCAATGGGGATGCCACAGTCGATCTGCAGCTTGCGTGTGGTGGCGTACATTTTGGGTACTCCTATCTCTTCCAAGAGGTCTGACCAGCGAGGAAGAGTAGGCCAAATACACCCAATGGAGGGGGCTCGTTTTAGTGAAGGCCATTCCGCGAGAAGTGGTGTGAGCACGTATTGTGTGGCTGCACATTTGCCTTTTATGATTACCTTCATTATCTGGATTTCAAACCCAGAATCTCAGTGGTGCCACTCAGTGTCTCGTGCCACAAGTTCCCTGAGCCAGCTGGCTACCTCGCATTGCATCCACCCCTGTGATGAGGAAATCGAGGCGATGCCTCGATAGCTGGCATGAATCTGACCACTGGCTGTGTAAATCACCCCGTAGATCTCACGTTCTTCATCAAGGGCCAGCAGGTGTTCCGCACGTGGACAAGTTCTCGGCGCCTGGACAAGGTTATGAACCTCACCTCGTGGCTCGGTTGCGGTGACTGAAGCGAGCTCGCCGGTTGGCGGGGAAGGTGGGGTGGGGACAATGGCTTCATCAGTAACTCATGTTCCAAGACGCGTGGGAAATGCAGTGGTTGAAGGAACGAGGCTTGCTCAGCATGCACACGCAGGCTTACAACATTCACAACCACGTACACATATAGATGACCCACCATCAATGACAGAGCATGCATATGGAATTTTAGAATAACACGAACGACCTACGTCGTACTCTATGGAGCTCACAAACCTTAGCCCAGCGTGCACATGAAAGGTTACACTAACACTAACAAACCATGGAACTCGCCAACCTTAATCCAGCATGCAAACGGTACAGGGTGGTATATAGCGACACTCGCCTTATAAAGCAGCACGCTGCAGATTTTTTGAAAGCTTAATTCAGCACGCACGTGGCGTTCATTATATCGACGACGACACAGGTTTTTAAAGAGGACTGCGTGACCCAGAACGCAGGCGTTTATTATCGAGTAGCTACGACTGCGCATCTAGGCTGTGACAGACTAAAAAGTAAGACGCTTCGTATGACAAAAACATACTTTAAAGTTACTTTTAGGAGCTCTGGCCTAGCACTCGTGATATCACCACAGGGTGATTCGAAAGTAGGAGGGTGATAATGTTACCGCGATGCCAGTATGCATGAGCACTCGATAACTCCCATCTAAAGCCAGTCACACGAGGATTTGAACACTCTATCAATTGTGGTGCAGGCCTTCTTAAACAAATTGTCTCATATCCACTCATGAGATCACCTTTATTTACAAGAGCTCATTCACGGGAAGCAGTGGCGTAGTGGTTCATGCACTATAACACATTCGTGCGGAGGGAGCTGGTAGGAACGTTGGATTGCTCGGTCAATGGCCAGGGTCAACGGCGGCGTGGTGTATTCCGCAAATATGCCCGACTATGAGGGTGGGCACAAGCCGGCGTGAGTCGGTTAAACGTTGAGTTTTATAAGGGCACCGCGGGGTGACCAGCCCCTCCCCACTCAGCCCCACCCCACCCACCCCCCACCCAGCCCCACCCTCCCCACCCAGCCCCTCCCCACCCAGCCCTTCCCCACCCAGCCCAGCCCCTCCCCACCCCACCCAGCCCCTCCCCACCCAGCCCCACCCCTCCCACCCCCCACCCAGCCCCTCCCCACCCAGCCCCACCCTCCCCACCCAGCCCCACCCCTCCCACCCCCCACCCAGCGCCTCCCTCCCCACCCTCCCCTCCCCACCCAGCCTCTTTGCACGACGGACGGACACAATAATTCCCTGTGGGCTGGTGTAACCAGGAGGTTCCTATCAGTATTATGAACCTAGTGACTTTAGTTTGTATCCTGGTCAAAGGTAACATCAGTGACGAGGGATATGTCAACCCATCGTGAAGTATGATCAAACAGCCCCCATGGACTGACATGGCATTTTGAGTCATTTATCCAGCAGTGGTATTTCAGAGGGCTGTGAATTAAAAAATGTTTTTATTAAGAGCTCATTCAGACAACGAAACTCCGTCACAAAGGATATTTGGCATTGTTTAAAGCAGTTGCGTTTTTAAAGCAATGCCAAGTCTCATAGGCTGATTAAATGTTATTTCCTATCAGAAACACCTTGCTTGCATGTTTTTTTATGCAACTGATGAAGTTAAAATCTGGGTGGTCTCGCAGCTGAAGGTTTTAGAGAGAGCTGTTTGGTGCGTTCGATTAGGGAAGTCGAATTAGTGATGATTTTGTTGGTTTTAGTAGCCAAGCTATTGGTAGGGTCTCTGTTAATTTTGGTATAGCAGCCATCATTGAGGTCTTGGATTTTCTTGTTGTATGTGGTTTTATCCATGATGACAGTGGCATTGCCCTTGTCGGCTGAGAGGATGACAATATCATCTCTCTTTTTTAATTGAGCGAGTTCAAAACGTTCGTCCTTGCTAATGGGTTTCTTAGCATTCTTGAGGATAGCAGCGATTTCAGATCTTGCAACGTCTGCCGAGATGTCCCAGACCTTTGAGGGCTACATCGACCTGGGCAATGATGTCATCCACTGAGATGTGTTTGGGGGTGACTGCGAAATTCAACCCCTTAGCCAGTACCGATTTTAGGCTGTCAGAAATTGGGCTGTTACAGTGATTGATAACAATCTTGTTAACATATAACTTTTCCAAGTGTGGTTCGGGTTTCTTTTTTGACAGGAGGTTGAATTTGGCAATCAGGTTGACTCTGCTTTTGGTTGACATTGAAGCAGCAGAAAAAACAGTCATGTTATCCACATGGTCCCAATCAGATGTGGACATTTCGTCTGTTAATGCTAAATGTGATTGTAAGAGAGTCTCGTCTAAATGATCAAGTTCAAATCGGAGCAGCCTTATTCTTTCTGAGATTAGGGCTAGGATGGCCTTAAACAAGATCCGTTTAGCGTTAGGGGAAGCCAGTCCCCCACCCTTCCCTGCACACCCCCCCCCTCTCCCCCGTGAATCTCCTACAGCCACAACTCGACAAAACTCCTCCCCCCCCTCCTCCCGTGCCTATATAAAGCCACAATCTTCAGATCATTTTCTCACCTGAAGACGGACGCTTGTGTTGCGACCGAAACGTCGTGTTTCCTTTGATTATTTTTTCTATCTACGTGACTTTACCGAAAGAACCAGAGAGTACTTATCATTTACTTTATGTATGCCTAGTACCATTACTGTGTGTAGCGCTACTAACGTAATACATCGTTTGAGCAGAGTTCAGGATACTCTGTATGGCTTCAATCACATAAACACGGAGGTGCTCAACTATTTTGTGCTTTGTGTCTAACCAATAAAATGTAAAAATGCATTCTTAATTGTACTGGCATTCAGTGTTGTTTTATTTAATAAATGGTGTGTAAGAGAAAAGCGCAATTTGCGGAGCAAACACGTGCACACTCAAAACTGTACCGTACAGATGAATTGAACTTTAGGTCGTTGCGCTCAGAGCAGCAGTGCGTTAACCACTACCTGAACAGTGTTCGTCTTCAAATGGCAACAAGTCCTCATCGCTCAGGTCGGTCACTCTCTCACGCTTACCACGACTAATTGTCGAATGATCCACCAACGCAACCTAGAAGTCCAGAATGTGCTTGCACTGCATCAATGCCGCTGATGCAACCAGAAGGCCGTTGGGTGGACGGGCTGTGTTTTAAGATATTTGTTTTTATTTCAAATGGAGGGAGATATGTATGTTGAACTTATTTTACACCGTACGTAGCTAACCGTGCTAATCTGAGGTGCGGAAATGAAGGAGACGTTGTCTGCTTATCTATCACAACGGTGCATCAGTGAAAACTTTAAGGTCTTATTATTAGATTATATTCAGTGCGGGCGTAACATCCCCCCCTAAGGGATTTGATGAATTGTCACGACTCTGTATCACAATCCGATTCACAGTAATTTTTTTTATTATGACAGTAATGCTGCTAACATCACAAACATTTTACGAAATAAAAAAAATCTGTTAATTCATGTGTATTTAATATGAAAATATATGGCTGATATTTGAAGCTGCCGAACCTGTACTTTAGCAAAGGCAGGTGCCCACTCGTTAAACACTATTAAGCCATGTGGGTCTGCTGCCTCTAGTGAGTCTAGTCGATAGAAACAATTACATGACACTTTGAACGCTATGAATCACTCTTTGGTTCTTTCGGTAAAGTCACGTAGGTATAAAATACGTGACTTTACCGAAAGAACCAAAGAGTATGGATTCCTGCAGTCACGAAAGCTTCAAATCAAGATTTAATCACCAACCAGCTTATGGGCGAGTTCTTGCAAATATTTGTGTGCATGTGTATATATCTGTCCATCCATGCTTTATCAGATGTTCTTGTGTGTTTTGTGTGTGTTGGTAATTGTGTGTGTGTGTAATTGTGGGGAGTGGAAGTGTAGCGGTTCGTGTATTGCTCTAAGAACCAAACGACCCGAGTTCGATTCCTGCTCACGGCTAACACCAGTGACGATTATCTGAACCGATCCTCAAATGAGTACCTGGTGCGGTCTGTAAACATCGACACTGGGGAGACAAAGGCGGTCGGGCGTGGTGTTGGACATCCACCCCCTCGTCTACCTTGCTGGTCTTCATAGGTGCTCGCTAGCAGAACTTGCCCCGAAAGTATGTTAAGGGTATATGGAGAATCTTTGTCTTTGTGCTTGTTGGTAATTGTGTATGTGTGTGCACATTAATAATTGTGTGCATATGTTCGTAATTGTGCATATGCGTGTGTTGCTAATGTTGCGTGCGTGCAATGTGCTACTACTACGCCATGCCATATTTGGCAAATTTGGACCCTGAATCCACCAAGTTGTTTTCCATTGCAGAACTTGAGCTGTGCCACCAACGTCGTACGTAATGAACGCGTCGAGTCGCATGTAAATAACACAGCAGCAAGTGTACGTATTAGTAATTGCATGTGTGTGTGTATATATTTGTAATTGTGTACTGCATGTTTTTTCGTGTGCTCCACTAGTTACTCTTGTGCTTAGCCAATCGCCCAGGCTGCGGGCGTGGTGTTAATGCCGTGTGGAAAAACGCGAGCCCCATGGCACACAGCATCCCCACGGCGTGAATGTACTCGTACGAGTTAGGGTATGGCTTCCCACACACAGCGTACCTGCATACATTGCACAAAAGACAAAGATCACCCACGTAGCTCTTAACAGACTATTGAGGCAAGGGCTGTAAGAGAGCACCTATTAAACCGGTAGAGCGTAACGAAGGGATAGTGTGGGCCAGCACCACACAACAACACCAGGGTACTCATTTAAGGCTGAGTCGACCTAGAGGAGGCCCAAGACCGATTCAGATATTTACCACTGATGTTGGTCGTGAGCGGGAAAATAACTCGGGTCAGCGGGTTCATAGAGCAGTGTGCCAACTACTGCACTATCGCTCAAGATGCATGACACACACACACGGATCGTACCTTTTAGCAGTGCTCTTCATAATGACATAATGCGCTAAACAAATAATGAGTGCAGGCACATGTATACCCTTTTTGTCAATTCACTGCAGGATGGGTGTCTCTCCACACCACACGAGTCGCGAATGTCATGCGTAATTAATATTTCGCTCGCGAGTAAATGACCCAGTGTCATAGTTATCTGAAGCGCTGCCCGAGACGTAGTTGTTTCCAGCTCACATTTCTCCACAGCTCTTCACCATCCAGCGGCAGCTTTACTTTCTCCTTCTCGCAGTAACATGGGCAACCTCTAGAAAAGCATCTTACAAGGCTGGCATGGCACAAAAGAGAAGTTGATGGTCTACCGGGTTCTACCAAACATCTTTTACCGCTTTTCCAATGTACAAACACGAGCCACACCGGGGACATGCGGAGCCAGTCCCGTTGTAGCTCAGGAGGCAACACATTGTGTTTAGGGCGTCACGGTGGCGAAATGTTAACTACCTTGCCTAGTATTTACGCAATCTCACCCAAAAACCTCTATTATGGATATTGGTCACGAAAACCTACGTGCTAAACTAACCTCTATGTGGAGGATACTTTTCTTCAAACAAGGAAATTGGAGAAACTCCGAATCAAGCGGATAAAGCTGATGTCTTCGCTGGCGTTTCTCACACAAGTGACGACATCGCATTTATCTCTCTATTTAAGACCGAAACAGGAGGATTTCTCCATAACTCTGGATGTCGCCTGAAGATGCTGGTTGTAAATACTGGCGAAATGTCATACTCGAATTGTAGATGTTGTGGATTTACACACCGGTGTGCTGTACTAGTAACGAATTGGCATGTTTTCTTTACGTGACAAACCTTACTAATTGGCCGTGTCTTGTGGTGGTGTGTTGAATGACACATTTATATTTACGCGATCTAACCCAAAAACCTCCATTATGGATAATACAGGTCGTGGGTTTGATTCTGACCCTGATGCCTGTATATTTGAAGTTTGCACATTCTCCCTGTGGTCGCGTGGATTTTTCTCCGGGTCCTCTGGTTTTTCCCTCCGTATTTAGAAACATGCGTTTCAAGCACTTAACTGCTATACATTTCCACGTGACAAACCACTTCGTTGAGCTCTCATTTGTGGCCGGGTCGTTTCTGAAAAAGAGCTATATAGCTCAAGTGGGCCTTACCTGCTAAAATAAAAAATCTTTATACTTTAATAAAAAAAATAGTTTTATATCATTTTATTATTCTTCCACTGCAGAATTCGAGGTGTGCTGCTGATATCGCCCACAATGAACGAGTCGTGACGCATGTAGGCAATGCAGTGGTAGGTGCAAGTGTACTGACACAATGTATCACAACATGTATAAAGTCTGCTGCTGGCCCCGAGTCAGATTAAAATCGTTTTTTTTTCACCTGAAGACGATTGCTTGTGTTGCGATCGAAACGTCGTGATTTAGATTTGTTTTTCTATCTACGTGGTTTTACCGAAAGACCCAAAGAATATGAATAGCGAATCACAGTTTGGTTCTGCCTTGGCTCAAATGTGCCCCAGGAAAATGGGTTATTAGAGTTCCCTTTGCTGATATCCACCAGAGCAAGTACTTACTTCCGGAGCCAGTTGACTTACAAGAGGCCCACACCGAGTTTAAACCTCGCAGTCATCTGTAAACATGAGCATCAGGGAGACAAAGGTGGCTAGGCGTGGTCCTGACCACACTACTGGCTTGTGTGCTGTGACGGTCTTGGTAGTTGCTCCCGAACAGCACTTACCCTAAACAATCTAGAAGAATAAAGAGGGCATCACTATGTTTGTGATTACACTTACCAGTGAGTAATTCCATTGCTGTCAGGGAGAGCTGTCACACTCTGCCGGGTCAGATTATGTGATTTGAGCAGCCAGTTACAATCCATACTGTGAATACATCGATGTGAATTAGATAAACAAATAACAGACAGCCACTACATTGCAGAGATACAATTAGTAGGGGTGTAACAATGCAATCATTTCAGTGATCGATATTATTACGCTCATCATATGCATTGAATTGTGTGTGTGTGTTAGATTCCTTATTACATCCGCAGTAATAATCAGGCCAGCCACTGATTTGGAACCATGAATATATGAAACAAACGATGAATGTGCTACCCGCTAGGCCATGTCACACTTAAGAGGCACCAACAGCAATTCATTAAAAAATCATAGTATTTTTGAATCTGCGGTTTCCTCCCTTCAACAAAGTGACAAATTTGTATGCTGCTTCTCATGGAATCTTTAAATACACAGCAGCGCACAAACAGTAGTAGGCTCAGTACTGATTCAGTAGGCAGTAGATATGCTGATTTAATATAATTATAGTTATAGTAGAACTCCTCTCATCCGTGATGAATAGGGGGGGGGGGGGCGGGGAGGCCGACAAACTTCACGGATGCAATCATTAATCCAAGCAATAACCATCCGGTAGAAACCTTTAGCGAGTAGGAAACCCCACAAACTTCCACCGTGTGGCTGCGTCGTCTGCACCTGAAGTAGTCCTCGTCGTAGTCACTGGTGCACAGGTAGGCACGCTTGCTGAGCGCCTGTCCCAGCGGCGACATGACCACGACGTCCGGTGCATCGCATGGGCCCAGCGGTTCGTGCAGCCCGATTGACAGCTGCGTTTGAGGAGTCGCGAAGTATGCCTACAACACAAATATCCCACGTGAGACCTTTAGCATATACCCGTTTACCCAACCAGCACTTTCCTGTCCGAGAAATGAATGCATAAATATGAATTGGTTAAAACTATTAGTACTAAACTTTTTATTTTACCAGGTCGGCCCATTGAGCTATATGGCTCTTTTTCAGAAGCATCCTGGCCCCAAATGATAGCTCAATGAAGTGGCTTATCATGTGGAAATGTATAGCAGCCAAATGCTCTAAACGCGTGTTTCTAAATGTGGAAGGAAAACCGGAGAAAAATTTACGCAACCACGAGGAGAACATGGAAAAAATGGTTAAATATTAACCATCCCACATTTGCTGTTGACATAATCGTTATACAAGTTCAATGGGAATGAACTGCGGGCAATGTTTGAAGAAGTTCCTAAAGGATGCAAAGTTGGACTCAAGATGAATAAAATCAAAACGGAAATGTACGTGCAACAAATCACGTACTATGTCTTTTGGAGGAGCACAGAAGGAAAACACAGCAGAATGTTTATACCTCGGGCAGTTATTGAAAGTGGACTGAAATCTAAATGATGAAATAGGCTGATGGGAGCAGGTTAGGGTGCTTTTGGCAAGTTGAACTTGATAAATGTGAAGCAACGTGCCATTGTACTACCAGCTACTATGCAATGTTGGCACTAATAAAGAATACGGAACAAAAACTAAAAAAACATGCAAAAAAGTGTGGAGAGATGCATGCTTGGGAGTCGAAAAGAGGAACATGGATTGGAGAATGCACACAGGCTGTCAATACAAATTAAGTGGGCTTTGGCAGGACAGGTAAAGGTACGATAAGGGATGATGACCGGTGGGTGAGAATAACTATGGCGTGACAGGCAAAGAGGAGAGAACACGCCTGAAGGGAACGTCTGCTGCAGAGATGGATAGATGAAATCAGCTCGTGTGCAGCAGGTGCGATGTTACACCGCGGGACCGTTAGAGGCGACAACGCCTTTCGGAGGCCTTCACGCTGCAGTGGATTCGTTGTGGTTGTGGTGGCAGGTGGAATTTTTCTTCTTGGTTCTTTCGATAAAGTCACGTAGAATGGAAATAATAAAATAATAAAAATAAAACGTAATAAAATAATTCTCACGACGTTTCGGCCACAACGCAAGCAGCCGTCCTCAGGTGAAGAACAGGTCTGTCGAGAAGACAGAGTCTGAATTCAGACTCTGTCTTCTCTCACCTGAGGACGGCTGCTTGCGTTGTGGCCAAAACGTCGTGAGAATGATTTTATTACGTTGTATTTTTATTATTTTATTATTTCCATTCTACGTGACTTTACCGAAAGAACCAAGAAGATGAATCCCTGCAGTCACGAAAGCTTTAAATCGGAGGTGGAATTTTGCGTGTGAGCTCACGGATCGCACCATCAAGGTGTAAACAATGAAGTGCAATAGCATGGCCCATGCAGTCTCGTGCGACAGCCAGCCCAACAGCCAGGTCCCACCATTCCCTCTCTCGGCTCTGCTCCCTGCCCCCCTGTCTGCGTGACGTTCACCAATCCACACCATGAACACGTAGATGGCTGCAGACAGGCAGGCAGACACGCACACACACACGGGGGTCAGTGAGTGACCCACACCATTAGCGCGAAGAAGGCTACACACAGGAAAAGTAAGTGACTCACGCCATCAGCGCAACTCTGATTATCATGGTTGGCTCCATACGGTGCGAAAGAAGTTCAACATACATATCATAATCTTTAGACTGGAGGAATACGATGAGCTATGAAGCTCGTTTTCACATATATCCAGTAGGGGTGGGTCAGCAAGTTACAACAACAAGCCATAAAAACATTGGAGTGAAAAATAGAGAAACGGTAAACAAGTCATGAAAATAAATAATAGCATAGATTTGCTACACACCCACATAGAATGAGTGAGTGACCATTACCATCAGAAAGTAGATCTCTACACATAGGGGATTAGTGGTGGGTGATACACCATAAGCACATAATTCACTACACTCACACACAGGGTTAGTGAGTGACCCACAACATCAGCGCGTAAAAGCCTACACAAACACGGTCAGCAAGTGACCCTTACCGTTAGCATGGAGACAGCTGCACACAGACACACATAGGGGCAGCGATACTTAGTGCACATGATTGAAGTGAATCGCAAAATGGAATAATTAAAGTGGGTAGTAGGCATACAAATGGCAAAGAAACCTTGTTTAGCTTGATATACTGTTAGCGAGCACCAATTAGGACTGGTACACCAAATCCTTGCCCATCGCGGGTGTTACGTTCTTGAAAATAGCCACAATCAGCAAATCCGGGACCCGTAAACTCAAAGGCGAAGGAGAAAACTCGAGATCGGTTCACGATTCGAATTACGACACCCCCTCCTCTTGTTTTATCTGACACTACATTAACCCAAGCGTGAAACAGGAAGAATCTGTACGTAAAATATTAACATTTTTTAGAGTGTGAAATATAACTTGTACATACTCTTTGGTTTTTTCGGTAAAGTCATGTAGGTAACAAAAAGGAAAATAAATTAAATTACGACGTTTTGGAGGCAACACAAGCTCCCGTCTTCAGGTGGAACCGTCACAGCAAAAATGCTGTACGTGACTTTACCGAAGAAACCAAAGAGTATGGACCCTTGCAATCTAGAAATAACTTGTACAGTCAAATCATGAAATAAAAAAATGTATGTACACAGTGTAACACTCCTACCACTACGTAAATCGTGGACGGCTGAAGCTCCCCGTCTCACTGGACACTGGGAAAGTGACCTGGGACCCACAATGAGCCACTTGGGAGACATGATGGAGGCAAGACCGGCACGTGTGTTCTTCCGCAGCAGCGGCATCATGATCAGTACAGTTACGATGCATACAGGAATCTCGTCACCAACCGCAAATGATCAACCCACAGGGACACAATTGGCTGCGAACTATACCTCAATAAATTTGGTGCAAATACTCAAATCAACGAAGTGCAAGGTTTTGGTGAATATCACACAAACGGGTTATGTGGCCAAATCCATGCCTGGCGACCCTGGCCTGCCCAGTGCTGATGTTAATACATTGCAACAGATTCTTATTCAAGGTTGAGTAAATCTATGGGAGGCCTAGGACCGGTTAAGATCTCTCTTGCTACTATTGTCATCCATGAGTCAGAATTTAACTCAAGTTGCAGGATTTTTTTACGCAATGGGCTAACACTGTGTTTCCATTTCTCATGGGTAAACACACACTCAAAACATCATCAGCCACGATTTAGCCACGACTGGATAAAGCCTTTCCCCAAGTTGCTGCTATCCTTCACGGTACTGTGATACAACAATCCACGCGCCACATGCACTTGAGCCAATCTCATCACTCCATCTCCTTTGCTATATTCCTCTCTGGATGTTGTAATTCACCTAAATTGGATACAGTGTCATGATTCATGGTTGCAATTCAAGAACATATATATTTTTTAATTTGTCGAAAGTATCAGCCTCTAGCGACTGATAGGGTCACGTAAAGTTTGTCAACATAATTTGTAACATAAAAATTGTTACACATACAATTCAATGTATGCATCGGGAGCTTAAAAATCTATATTAATTGATTATTCAACTCTATTACACCCATACTCATTAGCATATACATACATAGATGCATATATACACCAACGTCTCTACGTTTTTTTAAGTGTATCTGAATGAACAAAAACTAATTTATACACATGAGGGATGAATTTTCAGCTTTAGTTTTTTCATAGATCAGATTTGCTGGCATATTTCTTCATATTTGGATATTTTAATTTATTAATTATAGTTTAAATCTTGACTTAAACTTTAATAAATCACATTGTTCATTACTACATTTAGTGATTTTAATCATTTAAACATGTATAATTGCGTTTGACTTTCTATCATTAAGTACCATCAGTAAAATCATAATTGATCTTTTTAATATTTTAATAATCAATAAAACTACGTCACGTGGTGGCACTTTTGGCAAGTAAAACATGGAAGTGAACTCAGGTGTGATGTCACTTCCTATGACATCAATTTTTGAGAAACCCTCATGTAAATTGGTGTTTTACCCAAAAATACATCGTTTTTAACACGTCATTGCTTTATTTTTTTGATGATTCGGAGGCTGTGGCTGGTGGATTTAGTTTTGTTTAATTATGCTCCAGCACTACAGGTTTGCATTTTAACATATATACAGTACGTCCCCGGGTTGCGGAAGACCCGACTTACGGAAATCCGACTTTATGGAAATGCTCCCATAAATTATGTAAAAAAAAAATGCAATACGTGGAAATGCTTGTGTTGGTTACGTAAGGGCAAAAAGTACAGCGCGGTGAGGTTGCGGATAAATACCGCGGAGCGAGGTGTAAGTCCCGCCTTCCGCGAAGTGTAAGCCCCCTCCCTACCTTACGCCTCGCTCCGTCAAAATTCCGCCTTCACAGAAGCCCCAGCTTCATTAGGATTAAGATAAATGGAAATTTTTGTAGCGTTACGTAATTATTTTCCTTTTGTAGCATTACTTAATTGTACGTTTTCTATGCATATAACGATCTTTTTCCCAATGTTTATATTGGTAGTTTTCTCCATTTTAAGTTTATTTACTGTACGTAGGAGCCGTCCATAAATGACGTCACGCTATTTTGGCCGATTGTTTTACCCTCCCTCCCCCCCCTCGTCACACGACGTCACAAAAAGTCAGACCCCCCTCAAATATGACGTCACAAAGCTCTGGCCCCCCCCCCACCCCCCCAAAACCATATTTCCATTTTGAAGATGAAACATGCTTCAAATCACTTTAAACTATTGTCATTGTAGTGCGTATTTAATGTGGCGCTGCACTCTGATGTTGTAGGAGAAAACATTTATTAAAAGGTGTTGGAAAAGGTGACATTTAGCATAATATTCACTTGAAAATATTCAACGTCTAACTAAAACTGCAGATGTTCAGAATATTATATTTAAATTCTCTTATAATTATAAAATATTTAAAGTAATTCTAACTATAAAAAAATACTTTAAACTTTGTAGTAGAACGAAGCAAAATGGGGAGGTACAATTATAACAATCACATATTCATTCCACAGAATGAAAAGCCCTGGTAGAATCATTAGAATCTAAATGTTTAATAACAATCATTCAACAAAAATTACAAAATGTATGCTTCTCCATTCTCCCATGGAGAAGCAAAATGCTCCTTCATGGAATAAATAAAATGTGACCTTAGTAAATATTAATAAGCAAATAGTTAATAATGAAAATATATGAAAATGAGTGTTGTTACAACAATTATATATTTATTAAAAGTTTCGCATTTTTATGTGACGTCACATTTCTCAAAATCACCCCTCCCCCCCTCGTCACAAATGTCTGACCCCCCTCCCCCTCTAGGTGCGTGACGTCATTTATGGACGGCCCCGTACTTTATTTAACACAATTACGTCGAGACCTTATGGTGTCAGCCAACAGCCATCAGAGAAGTCTAAGCCTAGCCTAATGCTCGGTAAACAAACATTCGGTAGTGACTGCTTTCTGTTAACAATGAATATAAAAATATTTCGTGATATTCATAAACAATTGGATACGGTATATGTTCGATTATTTTAATTAAGGGTAGTGTTAGGGTAGATATTCGATTAAATGAAAAAATCATAGGAGGTGCAGAGTGTATGCACAGTGATACTGTACAGGTAGCGATAGAAAACGAATGACAGCGCGATACAGTACTGAGAGAAAACGAACCTAGCAGCCGCGTAGGGGAGGCACAACTGTTTCCGGCTATGGGATTTTATCTCGATTCTGGGGGGAAATTGTTCAGTTTCCAACATACGGAAAATTCGGGTTGCAGATCGTTCTCGGGAACCAAACCCTTCCATAACCCGGGGACTGCCTGTGTATATATATAATTGGGGATAACCATCATCCCCTCTGCAAATCCTGCCGTGTTCACAAACCTATGAGAGTGAAGACCAGGTTCTCTGTGTGGATCTCAAGGATGTCGTGCAGTACGTGGTAAAGCAACGTGAACTGCGTGGCCACCGCCACGGGGAAGGACAGGAAACCAGGGATGAGCACCGTCAGCACCTCGGCGATAAAACTACCTCCAACCTTGTCTCTTGAGGAGCTGCCTGTGAGCAGCCACCTAGGGGAATGAAGAGGCGAGGAGGTGGGGAGGGATCAGATCAGCAACAGTTTTGGCATAGGCAAATATGAACTGAATCAAAAATTGGCAAAATAACACTGAACTGCAAAGGCAGAGTATGTGGTGGGTGATGGGGGTACACAGAGCCAGAGAGTATGCTGGGTGATGGGGGTAGCACAGAGCTAGAGATTATGGTGGGTGATGGGGGTACACAGAGCCAAAGAGTATGGTGGGTGATGGGGGTACACAGAGCCAAAAAGTATGGTGGGTGATGGGGTACACAGAGCCAGTGTATGGTGGGTGATGGAGGTAACACAGAGCCAGAGAGTATGCTGGGTGATGGGGGTAACACAGAGCCAGATAGTATGGTGGGTCATGGGGGTACACAGAGCCAGATAATATGCTGGGTGATGGGGGTAACACAGAGCCAGTGTATGGTGGGTGATGGGGGTAACACAGAGCCAGAGAGTATGCTGGGTGATGGGGATAACACAGAGCCAGTGTATGGTGGGTGATGGGGTACACAGAGTCAGAGAGTATGCTGGGTGATGGGGGTAACACAGAGCCAGAGAGTATAGTGGGTGATGGGGGTAACACAGAGCCAGAGAGTATGCTGGGTGATGGGGATAACACAGAGCCAGTGTATGGTGGGTGATGGGGTACACAGAGCCAGAGAGTATGGTGGGTGATGGGGGTAACACAGAGCCAGTGTATGGTGGGTGATGGGGTACACAGAGCCAGAGAGTATAGTGGGTGATGGGGGTAACACAGAGCCAGTGTATGGTGGGTGATGGGGTACACAGAGCCAGAGAGTATGGTGGGTGATGGGGGTAACACAGAGCCAGTGTATGGTGGGTGATGGGGGTACACAGAGCCAGTGTATGGTGGGTGATGGGGGTGCACAGAGCCAGAGAGTATAGTGGGTGATGGGGGTAACACAGAGCCAGAGAGTATAGTGGGTGATGGGGGTAACACAGAGCAAGAGAGTATGGTGGGTGATGGGGGTAACACAGAGCCAGGGAGTATGCTGGGTGATGGGGGTACACAGAGCCAGAGAGTATGCTAGGTGATAGGGGTAAACAGAGCCAGTGAGTATAGTGGGTGATGGGGGTAACACAGAGCAAGAGAGTATGCTGGGTGATGGGGGTACACGGAGCCAGAGAGATTATAGTGGGTGATGGGGGTAACACAGAGCAAGAGAGTATGCTGGGTGATGGGGGTACACGGAGCCAGAATGCACTGCGGGTGATGGGGTTACATAGAGCAAGAGCATATGCACAATAGAATAATATATCGATAATGATGTGTAAATGTGTGTGCAATCATGTGGGTGTGTGTAGACCTTGAGGCATTGGTGAGCATCGTGAAGTTGAAGGAGAATGTCATGTGGAATATGTAGGATGTCCACGGAACCCAGTAATGGCGGTCAAATATATTGGGGTCTGTATCATGCCATGTCCACCACAGCAGCTTGATGCCTGCATTTGGAGAGAGTGAATCGACCAGACAAGTAAATCACTGAGAGAAATCACCCAGTGGCTCACCAATACAGTAACTCACCCGGGCAGGTTAACCACTCAAGAGAATCACCCAGTGTCTCACCCCAAGAATGACCCAATCATCCAACCTAGGACAATTGTAGATAGGCATAAAACATATCACTACCCCACAATGCGATGGCCTGTTATGATTCAGAGTAACACATTCCTGCGGAGAGAGCTGGTAGGAACGTTGGGTTGCTCGGTCAATGGCCATGGTCAACGGCGGCGTGGTGTATTCCGCAAATATGGCCGACTGTGAGGGCGGGCACAAGCCGGCGTGAGTAGGTTAAACGTTGAGTTTTATAAGGGCACCACGGGGTGACCAGCCCCTCCCCACCCAGCCTCACCCCTCCCACCCCCCACCCAGCCCCACTCTACCCACCCTCCCCTCCCCACCCAGCCCCTCCCCACCTTCCCCACTCCACACAGCCCCAGCCTTCCCATTTTTTGATGCACGACGGACGGACGGACACAATAATCCCCTGTGGGCTGGTGTAACCAGGAGGTTCCTACCAGTAAAAATGTCTGTGTATGATGTTCTGTCTCGCTTGTACTGTCTGACTCGTACATTTTTTTGTCCGAATATAACATTTGCACACATTTAGATTTTCACATACACTGTTTGATGCGTATAATTCACATCAGTGTTTAGTCGGGGGGTATGAAGGGGATCGTGGTTAGAAGACAAGGATTGTTGGGAAGTAGATGATTTAGGGGAACACATTTTTTTGCATTCACGATGGGTTTGTATGACACCGGTAGTACGATTGGTATGAAAAAAAACTGACCCATGATGTCGAAGGGTATGTCTATGAGCAAATTCCCCAGTGCCACGGCGAACGGCTCGGCCCACCACGGGAGACCCATGTGATTGACGGCTACGTACGCATGGTAAATCATCATCGGGTAGAGCACGATGATGTGCATTGGGAGTCTCTGGCCTGCAAATAAAGGAAAAAAAAAACACGTAACATACACACACACACACAGAATTACACTTTGAGTTCCAGTTAAACGCACACTTGCAAAATGTAATACAAAGTACAGAAAACGCTAACAAGTTATTATACAATGTGGTTCAAAGGGCTAATAATGTGTCAGGGCACTGAGCTGGCACCACCAAAACCCATGGATGGAACTAGATCTACCTGAAATTAAACTGGATTCTCGAGCCGAGTAAGTTGTTTGGTCACCAATTGAGGATAATTGGCAGTCTAATAGTCACGAATTCATTTTTCACTTTGTTTGGATTACCCCATATCGAAATATATAAAAAATGTTTGACTGCCATGCAGAATATATTCTATGTAACATATCAAAACGTGTATCCTGAATGTGCGTAAAAAAACGATTTACGGGAATTCATAAATAGAATCCGACAATGTCCCAGGGTCTTTCTCTGACACAAGGTATATCAAAAGGACAACGTGTATATTATTGGAAGACAAATCCCACAATAATTGTCGTCTCTCATTATAGTGCCCAGTCTTATCTCAGGTCATACAAGCTGAAATTAAGTCAACTCGGAATGCTAGGACAACGAGTGAGAAGATAAGAAAACAACATCAGAATAAAGGTGATAAATATGGAATCACCAGGGAAAATGCCTAGAAATCAGTTGAGTCATGATCCAGGATATGCAGGACAGTGCAGTGCGTTTAGAGATGGCTCAAGACAGAATTTAGTGGAGAAAGCTAACAGATATACCCCTCAAAAGTGGGGGAAATGTCTATGAACATGAATATCTGTCCTTATAAAAAGTACATTTAAACCTGTTCTTAGGCTTATAGTTATAAGGGGAACAATCAATCAAACATTATTTAGTATAGCACCCTTCACAATAAAACAATGTTCACAGACCACTTAACACATAAAAAAGTATATAAAATGACACCAATAAAAATGTATATTACACAACGCAAAAGAAAACTGATTATCAACCCACTCCGCAAGCGAGTAAACAGGCCCCATAAACTGACCCGTCATATAGTGGTGTCAAGCTGAGAGACAGATCAACCCATAGGGATTTGTGACGGACTGAAGAGATTGAGTCTTCAGCAACCGTTTAAATGTGCACAGACTACCATCTTCCCTTATGTCAATGGGGGAGGTCGTTCCGCCACCTGGGAGCCAAACAATGGAATGAGCGCCCTCCGAAGCCACAAGACTCTGTGCACTGGAACTAAGACATCTGGCAGCTACATATCTCTCCAAAAGATCAGAGCGATAAACAGGACCTTATATCTTTATTTAAGATTTCCTGACTGCAGGAATCCATGCTCTTTGGTTATTTCGGTAAAGTCACGTAGGTATACGCCTGATGATTGACGCTTGTGTTGTGCCCAAAACGTCGTGATTTACTTTATTTTATACCTACGTGACTTTACCGAAAGAACCAAAGAGTAAGGACCTTATATATTAAAAGCAGGATATTAAATATGATCCGCAAGTAGACCGGCAACCAGTGTAATCTCTGAACGCAGGAGAAATGTGCTCCCACTGGTCATAATTTGTAAAAAAAAATCTGGCGGCTGTATTCTGTATTTGTTGGGAGACTATTAATGTGTGTGGTAAAGCCAGCATACATAGAGTTACAGTAATCAAGCCTATACGTTATAAATACATGATGCAGAATGTCTGAAATTGTATTTCTTAAAAATTATATAATTATTATGGATAGGTGTGCTCTAGTGGTAGTGACTTATGTAAATAATCCCTATTTACAAACCAGCTTAACAGCATTCTGGAAAAATGTACTGCCAGTTCTCAACTTATGAACAGGTTCTGTTCCTGACAGCCGTCCGTAAGTCGAATCTTTCGCAAGTCGGAAATCAATATGGTCAGTGTTATAAAATGTGTTACAGTTCAACAAAAAATGGAAGCATTGTTAAACTCATAAATAAGAATTATTATTGAACATTTGCATGTATTGCTGTGATATTGTCTATTAAATAAACCAAAATAAAGTAACATGAAAAAAACACGTTTTATTTTCACTTATCTTGAGTCCTGATGCTGGCTGGCTTACTTGTTAGAAGGGGTGTAAATGAGTCCCCACAATTGTACACGCACACACACGGGGGTATGCACACGCATACACACACAACAACGATTCCCCATAAAGACTTAACAGACTGTTGGGGCAAGTGCTGTTAGCGAGCACCTATGAAGGCCGGCACGGCACACGAGGGGGTGGGTGGCCAGCACCGCGTCCAGCCGCCTAGACTCGATGTTTAGTGGCAATGTTTACACACCGCATAATGTACTCATTTGAGGCTGAGTCGACCTAGAGGAGGCTCAGGACCCATTCAGTGAATCGTTACTAGTATTGGTCGTGAGCAAAAATGTACTCAGATTAATGGGTTCGTAGCACAGTACGCCAAACATTGTACTACTGCTAACCCACACACGGGCATGCGCACGCACCACACACGCACGCATATGCGCAAAACAACAACCGTCATTCGCCACAAAGTGGCAGTGACGTCTCCAGTGTTTGTGCCAGGCAATGTGCAAATTGAGGCCACGTGAAGTGTCGAAGGCTCGCTGGCAGGAGGCTCCTCCGCCCTCTGCTGTTGTTGGAGGGCAACTGCCTCAAACCTGCCACGGACCCTTCATGAGCCTCCTCCACAGAAGGCCGATCTCGACATCGCTCATACGAGTTATCGGCAGGTCCACTCAGCTCCATATCCTTCTGTACCACATCAGTCAATCTCTTCTCTAGCCTGTGCTATGCCCGTTTATCCCCCTCTATTCAGTAAAAAAAGAGTTGTTTTGACATGCAGTGACTGGGCATGCGGGCTACATGCCCCAGCCAACGCAGGCTATGCCTGCAGGAGGAGCTTGCCGATGGGACTGTGTCCATATCACACTCACTTTTATAAACACACAATCACTTTCACGCACATACACACATATGCATGCAAACAAAATAGTTCCATGGTTAGGTTCGCAAGTGTGAGTTCGCTAGTCAGATGGTTAAAAAAAAAATATCTTATGGAAGCTCGTTCGTAAGTGCCGATGTTCGTAGGTCGAGTGTTCGTAAGTCAAGGACTGCCTGAAATGAGAAATTATTTCGTGAGCAATAGGGTTATTAGACATCAGTGGAGTATCTTCATATGGATTACCTTTTATTACACCATACATACTGAGAGTGTTAGAAGACAGAGGCGGTATTGCCATAAACATGCTATTGGGCCAATGTTGGCCCAACGTTGCCATGTTGTTGGTCCAACGATGGGATGTGGGTTGTGGAGGTTGATGCTGCTGGCTTTATGTTGCGGACTGTACGACATACCTAGGAGCATCGTGGAACTCTGCGCATGCCAGAAGTTGTCGATGTTTGGCAGGAGGTAGCTGATGGACTCGACGATGAGGCCATGCAGAATTATACCCACCCACATGTACCGCCACCTTCACACGCACACAGAAGCACACCCTTCAGAATAGCATATGGATTTGCCGCCACACTTGTTCCTCGTTTCTTCTGGAATGCAGTCGAGTGAAACTTTTCAATCCCACTACGGTGTTCCGGCTTGTTCCAACCCAGATTTGAAAACAATAGGCCATGTGTGTTGGCATCACGGTCTGATTGTTGCAAACCTGAACAATTACTCGCAAATAACTTAATTGGATAAGAACAACGTACCAACATCTCCATTCACAAAAGAACATATTGCCTTCATGATAACCTCAATGGATAAACATTTTCAAGATTTAATCTACACTTGCTTTGAAGACACACTTAAAGGCCCACCAGTTTCACCGGGCTCCGGTCATCTACGTCTGTGAAATATGATGCATGTTACAAATTACATTATTCTTATCAATTATTCCGGAGTTGAGTGCGCAAACCTCACCGCCCGCCCTTGCGGATTGCATGCACAGCGCTCGCTGCCGCCACCAAAAAGACGGTGACCTCATTGATGAGCAATGTCGGGTGCAGGTCCCATATTTCCCGCGGGTCCCGGAACGTCACCAACCAGCTGCTCGACGGTAACGAGGAAAGCGCCATCCTATAAAGCCTGCAACGTCTGACTCACACGCAGGCACACACACCACAAGTGTATGCAGAATTGCCCTCGTTATTCTCGAGAGATATACGTTCTGGAGATTTGCGTGAAAATCATTTTTTTTGCGGATAATGATATTGGCCTACGAAAGGCTTTTTAATGGATTACCTTAAATAAATACATAAATAATCTATTAAATATATGAACATTATCATAATAACACATCTCGTCATCTCATAGCTTTATCTCTCATCACTTTTTCTCGTCACTTGCTTTCCTGCTCTCTCTCGATGCAGTCGTATCGAGTTCCGGATGTGATTCGCGGACAGCCAAAATCGCGGGCAGCAAGTTCGTGAATAACGGGGCAATACTGTACATTTATCTCATGGACATCCTAATCAACAGCAGCACTTATGACCAAGGCAATGATTTTGGCTTGGATTTTTTTTTTTTAACTCACAGCCAAGTTGTGGGGGAAAACAAAAAAAGAATTCACTGAAAGGTCACAGATTAAGGTGGAGTGGTGCCCCAATTATTATATGTTGGACCATGAGGCTGGCATACAATTGCCTACTCGTTTTGAATGTCGGGGAATCTTTAACATCCACTCTGAAGATGATGGCACATATCTAAGATCCTGGGTTTAAATCCAGGCAGCCACCCATGATATAAGCAGGTGAGAGTGCAAATGCTTACCCCGAGCTCTCATACTCTGATGGTGCATTGGCTTTGAGTTGTGCGCCTTTTGGCTTCATCTGGTCCAACACAATGTGAGACTAGGCTCTAAGAAAAGCTGTCTCGGGTGTGGACCAATCAATTTAAAGGACAGTGCATACATTATCAGAGTTGTGTTTTTTGTTTGCATTCCGACCGCAGGTATTGTGGTCAATGCAAACATGACTCCTTGTAAAATAGGTGTCAGTTTTGTTGCCAGATAAAAGGGTAAAAAAACAATTATCAGGTGAGAGATTTTCACAGTTTAAGCCTGGTTGTCAATTTTAACTGACAGAAATCAACCGGAATGTGTCTGATTTCGTCAGATCTTGGAATCATAACAGGTTTAAGTCTGAAGAGTGTTTGGATGGGTGATCACCATCAGCGTATAACATTATCTTATAGGCTGATGCAAGGCTAGGTTGTCTGCAGAGGGCAGCGCAGCAAAAAGTAATTGGTGTACTATATTATACTCCAATGTCTATGCTCCCTGTCTTCACCAACCTGCGATGACCAGCACTGAAGTATGGTCAAGTAACCCTCATGAGCTTAACGGCATAAGGAGGCCCTTATTTTGAAAGTTAGTTGACAGAAAGTGTTGTAGAGTTGGGAATTGGTTCAATAAAACAATTTTGTCAAACTTCTACCCTGTCACTTGTGATGTTATATATTTGTTCAAATTTTTTGTTTTGTTCAAACCATTAGCCTAAATGTAACATAATTTGCATAAACTATTATTTTACACGTGCAATTTGATGCATGAAACGTGAGTATAAGAATATATTTCATATCCATTCATCGTCATCAGATATGCTGAAATGGTAGCTGTAACATCTAATGACAATTAACTACAGGAAACGTCAGAACTTAATAAAAAGGCTACACATTTGGACTCAATATAGATTCATCAATAATGGGGTAAACAATAACGTACAACAATATTAATTGAATTGTAAATATAACACATAAGCTTTCCTTACCAATATTATGATTCATAATTGATGTTTGGGTCAGATTGTGCGTGTAAAATCCGTGTCATACACCCTACTCCACCCAATACAAACAATAAAGCTGTCATGTAAACACATGTGCCAATGTATTAATGCTTCAGCGCACCAATATTTTGGAGAGAAATCGAAAACATTTAATAATTTAACATCACTTTTTTTCTTATAGTTACAACCAACATCATTGTGATGCTGCAGGGCATCTCAGAAGATGATCCATGATTTGCTTCTCCTGACAAGCACATTCATGATTCCATGAGAGTTGCATCTGGCGAAACCCACTCTCAGTCTGTTTAGGCTTCGCCATGTGAGCAATTTGCAATTGGAGCCAGATGCGAGCTCCTTTGTTGCTTGATTTTTCCCATTATTTTTCCAGAGGGAAGTTCTAGGCAGATGTGGTCAGTGGTACAGTGGAGCACAAGAAGTTGTTCCTCGATGAGAGACGACGGTGTGCTGGCTGATGGCCATGTAGCGGATGGCGGGTGTCTCACTCTAGGACTTGCCGGTCGTGGTCACCTGCTGCTACTCTCCTCCTGATGTTAGGGGCGCAATGCCGGATAGTGCATATAGGCAGGAAACACAGTGATGGCTCTCAGGCAAACTGTTACGATTCTGCACATATAATTTAGGGCGGTGTCGACATGCTTACTGTGGGTGAAGAATCCCTAGGTGGAGCATGCATATTCAGCCACAGATAAACAAAGTGCTAAGGCGGTGGTGCGTAGAGTGGATGGATGTGCTCCCCATATTGAATTTGTAAACTTTTCGGAGATTGTTGTTTCGTCTGTTGGCCTTGGCTTTGGTATTTAAAGCAGCAAACAAACGTGCCAATTTATGACTGAAGCAGCAAAAAATTGGCACGTTAGTTTGCATGACATATTTATTAATTCGCTGTATTTGGTGGAGGATGGTGTACGACACTCATTTTACTCACACAATCTGACCCACAAATCTATTAGAACTGAACTGTATCGCACATTCTGTTTATGAGTACACTATTGCTTCACTGGGTAGAGTCCACACACGCACATATATGGCTTGTTATCTGCAGCAAGTTGTTGTTGTGGGCATGATAGCCGTTGTGTGCAAGTCCTTGGTCCTCTGCAGGCTTGCAAGGCCAACCAAAGCTCAATCACCTAATGTAACCCAATTTACGAAGCAGGTTATACTGGTAGGAACCCACTGGTTCCACCAGCCCACAGGGGATTATTGTGTCCGTCCGTCCGTCGTGTAGGGAGGGGCTGGGTGGGGAGAGAGGGGCTGGGTGGGGAGGGGAGGGTGGGGAGGGGCTGGGTGAGGAGGGTGGGGAGGGGCTGGGTGGGGAGGGAGGGGCTGGTCACCCCGTGGTGCCCTTATAAAATTCAACGTTTAACCTACTCACGCCGGCTTGTGGAATACACCACGCCTCCGTTGACCCTGGCCATTGACCGAGCAACGCAACGTTCCTACCAGCTCCCTCCGCAGGAATGTTTTTTTTCATCTAATTGCACTTTAAACAGCCACCCCACCCAGCCCCTCCCTCCCCACCCAGTCCCTCCCTGCACGACGGACAGACGGACACAATAATCCCCTGTGGGCTGGTGTAACCAGGGGTTTCCTACCAGTATTAAATATATTCTTGTGTATGGCAAAATGTTCAGGAGCTCAATGCCAATAGAGTACACAACAATGCTCTAGTGTACAATTAAGACAAAATCGTAAATATATTCTCGAGTTTTGATAATTGCGGGTTTACTTTTTTCATGTTTTACCACCCTGGATGTGTGCCACTGTCGAGTACTTTATTTATATCCTACATCTTCCTCACAAATGTCTTCCCCAGGGCCCAATTCGTGAGTTGTGCTTAGAAAGCAAGGTAGAGGAACAGGAGGCAGTGTGGAGCATAACATCTCGCCACCGTGTCACGGTATACTTACTTTCAGCGAGATGTTAACTACCTTGCCTGGTATGCAGGAGGTCGTGGGTTTGATCCCGACCCTGACGCCTGTATATTTGGGAGTTTGAATGTCTCTCTCCCCGTGATCGTGTGGATTTTTCTCCAGGTTCTTCTGGTTTTTTTCCCCTCCACATTTAAAACATGCGTTTATCGTACAGTATTTGGCTGCTATACATTTCCAGACAATAAGCCACTTACGTTGAGATATCATTTGTGGTCAGGTCGCTTGTGAAAAACAGCTATACAACTGAGTGGGTCTTACCTGGCAAGATGAAAAGTTTAGTTTAGCTTAAACAGTGGCTCTTGCGTGGCAGGATGCTTCCATGTTTGCAATCGTTAGCACAAGTGGCTTTGCAAACCAGAAGGCGGCCCTGCTCGATTCTAATTGAAATGGCCGGGCACGGCAGTTGATACAATAGCCACGTTTATTAACACCCCCCCCCCCTCTTTGTCTACCCATCATTATACATATTTACACCACGGTCAAAAGGTCGCGTGCACGAGTTATAGTGTCTAGTTATTCCTACCTCTTCCAAAAGACGTCTGACCGGCGTGGAAGAGAAGCTCTCTTGAGCTTCCTCTGACGGAGGCTCTCCTTTGTTAAATCCTTTATATTAAGTTCGCTTGCTTGCTTGCGTGCTTGCTTGCTTGCTTACGACCGTGCAAATCTTTCGGTCGTTTTTTAACCCACTTCCCGTGATCCAATCGAGCTGAAATTTTGCACACAGACTCGTTGTGCGAGACAATTAATGTTCGTGAAATTTTTTTTTCAAAATTTTACACTGTTTAGGGAAAACAAATTAAATATTTAATTACCAATTGCTTAATACTGGCAGACAATCATCTGACCCATAGGTGGCAGCCATCTCAAGCCAGAGGACGAGAGGACTCTAGCCGCCACGCATATAAAGGATTTATAGTGAAAAACTTTGTTTTCACGGGTTATACTTATTTAGTAATGGCGTGGGAAAATTTGGCAAGACAGGCACAGGGGTTGTCAGGATCAGTGCCGCAGTCCGGGGTTTAATGGTCCTCGTTGTCGCATACAGGACACTTTCGATTAATGTGTTGGTGACAACATATCCCTTTCCTGAAAATTTTGGCAAAATGCATGCGGATCCCAAAGTCAACGTGTTGGCAATTTCACAAACATTAAAGGTTAAAATGTACTGTATATCCAATTGCTTGCTCACGCCACTGTTGTGAAAAGGGTCTCTCTTGGCGATATTTTGCTCTACTCATCATGCGCGCCTGACTTATTGGGAGAAGTCGGAGTACACACACTGTACCCCACCAGACGTGACCTGCGGATTGGCTAACTGGTGCATCTATTTATACGAGTTACTTATTTCTTCAGGAAGCCACACTAAGTCGTACTTTTTCATGGAGGGTCCTGCTACATCGGGTATTTTTTTTAAATCTCAAGATGTTTTCAGCCAATAAAACAATTATACGCGAGGGAAGGAAACCGGAGCACCCGGAGAAACCCCACATGGCACGAGGGAGCAAACACTATCCCCGGACAGATGGAAATCGACGGAGATTCGTCAAATTGCTGTACTGCCTTCTCCCGGTGACCCACAGGGGATACGGTGACCTCGGTTCGCTCACTGGAAGTGGGTTTCGCAACATTTGCCAACGTCATATTCTTGGTTCTTTCGGTAAAGTCACGTAGAAGGGAAATAATAAAGTAATACAAATAAAACATAATAAAATAATTCTCACGACGTTTTATTTTTTTTATTTTATTATTTCCCTTCTACGTGACTTTACCGAAAGAACCAAGAAGATGAATCCCTGCAGTCACGAAAACTTTAAATCGAAACTGCCAACGTCGTTGACACACCCCCCCACCCCACTCACCCACCGTGTAAACTTGTACACTCACCCACCGTGTAAACTTGGACACGATAATTACACCGGCTCATTAACTTGCAGGCAGGCCCCATCGTAGCAGCGCAGCGCGCTAACCACGGCGTTAGTCCACCACGACCGCACAACCAACGCACAACCGATACGTGGACTGTCACATCTTTCTGGATGAATGCAGAGAATGTGCGCTTAATCCTGCGATGAATTGACTATGTTATGGACAGAGGGTGCTGCTGTACCACGCTTGTGCCGTTGGTTGCATGTTACAAGCCAGCAGCTGGGCTCGACGTGTCAGTGTTTTAGTACCGTTAACATTTGCAACAGCGGAACTTACTTTATATTTTTTGTATAAACACAAGTACTGCTTACCTGTGCAGCGCTCACGTTATCGCTTCCTCCTGCGACGGGAGAGAGCGAGAGGCTTTACAGTTCACCGTCTCGCTCTCGCGAGCCGCGCACGATGGCAAAGCCTTAGGGGCCGTCCATAAATGACGTCACGCGATTTTGAACGATTTTTGACCCCCCCCCCTTCGTCACATGGCGTCACAAAAAGTCAGACCCACCCCCCCCCCTGAAATATGACGTCACAACGCTCTGCCCCCCCCCCCCCAAAAATAAAACATGCTTAAAATCGCTTTAAACTATTGTCACTGTAGTGCATATTGAATGTGGCGCTGCACTCTGATGTTGTAGGAGAAAACATTTATTAAAAAGTCTTTAATTAAGTAGAACGTGTTGTCTATATTTATTTAAAGTTGTGCATTTTCACGTGACGTCACATTTCTCAACCCCCCCCCCCTCATCGTCACACATCGTCACAAATGTCTGACCCCCCCCCCCTAGGTGTATGACGTCATTTATGGACGGCCCCTTAGCTGACGCGAGGTCAGAAGGACGTGCGAGCAGGAGGAGGAGAGACGACGAGATCAAAGGGCGTGCAACGATGGCGCGGGTGAAAAGGTCCATGGACTGCATTGAAGAAGGGAAGGGACGAGTGCAACACGCATCACCCACTCCCAAGACCCCCCCACCACCACACCCACCCACCCACCACAAAGTCATAATAAAAACAATTGGTAAAAACAAAACAAGTTTTTCAATGCACACACTTTTATTCGCAGTCTAAAGTAGAAAATCAATAGTTTTCACCCCGGAATTGAATACAATTTGACGTGCTGAATAAAAGTGGGTGCCTTGCATCTCGCAATAACAAAGGACTTTTATCCACGGTGTTGGTGAGCATAAAAATACACAAAAACGTAATGGTGCACTACTTTGCTGACAAGCCTATTGATCCTATCAGCAAAAAAACTACTTGGAGACTGAATACGACAGATGTCGATAACATGTCAGTTCGTAAGAAAAAAATTAATAAAATTACAATGACGACATACGGGTGTGAAATCGACGGCTCGATTTGTGACCCCCCCGCTTTTCCGACCGACCTTATAGTAAGACCTCCACAATAACGACCAAAACTTGTATTTACGACCGCCTAATGACTGCTACCAACGCCGAATCGAAGTTATGTTTTAAGTGAAGGTGAGACGTTCATTACATTTCAAGGGTGGAATTATTGGTGAATTTTCCCAGTGGTTTTCATCATACAGAGCAGACGTTAGGTTTATTATTACATGGAAAAAAGTACTGGCGGAACTGCACGTCTTGTAGTGTGTATGATCCCAAGTGGGCAAATGTTTCCAAAGCGTTGTATCTCATGGATCATGGCGTCCACATAAGGCAAGCCGCGTCTGTCCTCCATACTTGGCGGTTGCTCTGATTCCACAACTCTCTCAATCTCATAACATCGGGTTTGAATGTCAGGGTGCATCACCATGAAAAGGAGGCCCCTGCATGAAGTGGTGGACGTGGTCCCCATTCTATCAGTGAAAAGCTCTGACTATTAGGGTGAGTCTTCTCTAAAAATATGCTATTGGGATTGTCCTCCATAGCTATCTGAGCCAGATAGGAATCAATCACGCCTCTAGAGTTGTATTACTCTCTTGTGGCATGGTGCTCAGATACTATATCGTCGATCACGTGTTTAGCCTTTGCTTGAATATGGATTACTTTGTGCCATGGCTCAAGAAGACTTTAGCAGAAATGGGAATACATCGCACAATATTGCCAGTGGTCCGGTTTGTAAGTGCATGACCTGCATGCACCAGGAGGTGTTTGAGAGGTCTGAAACACTCATCGCTATAATCACAACGGATCCTATTCAGGAGCGAGCAAATGACGTCGCCCACTGCCTTGTTTTAATTAAAGTGAGGATCAAACGCTGATATTTCCGGTCTGAAAGTCTCCATTTGGTACCTTGCTTCCGTCAAGATTTTGTCAGCTATTGTTGCCTTCCCGAAGCCAAAATGACACAATGTTGGCAAAGCAAAGCTGCGCTGCTGCTTCCATGTGTCTGCGTAGGGTGCTAATGAAATACCAACTTTGTGAGTGAGTTTAGTAAAAGGGGGAGTTATTGGTCGGTCAGCAAACTGATGACCTCGATTCACCAGCACTTATTTGACCGCCTGGTAGCCGCTCACCAATACAACAGGCGTAATCCCCAACATTATATTACACACTTCTTGTTGTTTTGGCCAATTTTTGCATGGCAATCTGCGGATTCTTGCAACTAAAGGCCGTGATGTTCCCCAGCAGCGGTAATGGCTTAGGACCAGGAGGGAAGCTCACTGGGCAGATTGTTGCCCCCACCACTTGCAGGACAAAATTGCTCAAAGATGGATACCACCGGGAAAAGAAAACGTGGGAGACCCACGACTACCTGACGCAAGACCGTGAAGGACGAGCTGGCACCGATCAACCCCTTTTTGGCAAACGATCAACATGTTGCCAAGGACAGGAAGAAGTGGAGGGAACTCAATGTGGCCTCATGACCCATAGAGGATGAAGAGGATGAACTAACGAGTGTGAATAATTTTCGATTTAAAGCTTTCGTGACTGCAGGGATTCATCTTCTTGGTTCTTTCGGTAAAGTCACGTAGAAGGGAAATAATAAAATAATACAAATTAAACATAATAAAATAATTCTCACGACGTTTCGGCCACAACGCAAGCAGCCGTCCTCAGGTGAATAACAGGTTTGTCGGAAAGACAGCGTCTGACAGACTTGTTCTTCACCTGAGGACGGCTGCTTGCGTTGTGGCCGAAACGTCGTGAGAATTATTTTATTATGTTTTATTTTTATTATTTTATTATTTCCCTTCTACGTTACATTACCAAAAGAACCAAGGAGATGAGTGTGAATAACTTGTTTATTTTGAACAATTAAGCTGTAATTGATAGATATAACTGAATTGGAAGATAATTAGACTGTTTTGGTGTTGAAACTATAAGTTGTTTTTGTAATAGTTGATAACATTTGATCATCGATAATTCGGAGGGGAAGGAGGCGCCGGATTTTTTATAACGCCAGTTAATCACATCATTATTTAAACAGCTTGTTTTTGCATGTTTTTTGCATTACATGTTTTTTTGGTGTTGTGTATGTTTTTTTAGTGTTTTAAATGTGTGTACTATATGAAATTGGCATAAATAAACATAAAAATAGACAAAAATAAATATCCTACAGTAAAAGTTCCTGTATTTACTCTACCATACTTACCACTCCAATCTCGAAGACTCTGCATGGGGTGATGTACGTAGTAGCACGACTACGCGCTTGCGTCAACAACAACTCGATGTGTTTGATGATCGCCGGATCGCAC